ACTGATGTCTTTGAATTGTGGTGTTGGAGAAGAGTGCTGACTATCCCGTGGACTGCAAAAAGAAATACACACGTGTCTTGGAGAAGGAGCACCCGGAGTGCTCCTTAGACGCAAAGATGATGAAGCGTCATCCCACAGATCTTGGTATGTTGTTAGGAGAGGTTATTCACTGGAGAGGGACAGCATGCTAGCGAAGGTGGAGGGACAGCGAAGGAGAGGCAGACCCTCAGCCAGGTGACAGACACAGTGACTGCGGCGAGGGGCTTGAAGGTGCCGAGGACTGTGAGGATGGCACAGGAGAGGACAGGGTTCAGATCCACTGACTGCCAGGTCGCTATGGGCTGTACTCGACTTGATGGCAATTAACCACAAAAGCAGTCATACGCCTAAGACTGTGGGTGCCAGACTTGGGTGCTGCCTGTGATTGTCACGGCAACCCTGTGACACAGTCACATGTATCATTTTCATTGCACATATGAAGAAACTGAGAAACAAAGAGGTGCGTCAAGTCCCTCTCTTCATATCCTATACGGGGCAGAGCTGGGATCAAAGCCCAGGAGAAGTATCAGTTGAAGTATTGCCCCTCACATCTGCCCTACTTCCCTCTGCTAACCAAACTCCCAGCCATGCACCTCTCACACGCCGTGCTCACCCTGCGGGCGGTGAGTTTTCGTCCTCTCCCTACTTTGCCCCGGCTGTCTAAAACCCCAGAGAGGAAGTCAGCTGCTCTTTAGAATAGGTGTAAATATTGCATTTGACAACTCCACTTGGATCCTCCTGGCTGGGAATAAAAATCACTCATTCCTCAGAGCAAAACTGTCATGAAAACTAATCAACGGGGGCCTTTCCTCGTGCCAGTTACGGAGCATGTCAGCGAGAACGAGTAACGAGAAGGGGTCCAGGCAGGATTTCCAAGGCTGGGGCAATTTATCCTCCGTATAATGACATGAGAAGCTGGCATTTGATTAATAGAAAGTGGTGATGTCCTTATGAACCTAACAAGCCGTTCCACGCTGTTCCACACTGTGCACTAACAGAGCAGGGGTTGAAGGACAGCCCTCCAGAGAGATGCCAGCAGCCGGGCTCCAAGCCAGGGAGAGGGTAGGATGAGCAGGTTAAGCAGGAAAGGAGAGGTCCAGCAGGAGCTGTTCTGTTAGCAGGATTAGGTATGTGTGTCATAATACCAGACATCCTGGGTTCAAATCCCATCAAAGTGACCTCATCTGTAAAATGGAGATAATGAATGATTCAAACTCATTGTGGTTGAGTAGGAATTGACTCACAGCGGATCCGCCACACTGGGTTTTTGAGGCTGTAAACTGTGTAGGGAGTGACTATCTGTCTTTCTATCTTGAAGCCACTGGTGGATTTAAACCTCCAGAGAGGCAATGGCTTTGGACTTGGGCCATAATTCTCTACAAACTACGTCACCAAAGCTCTCTGGGGATAATGATGGTAGGAAATGAAGAGGAAGTCAGGAAGAGTAAACCTGATACCTAGAAACAAACTACCAGCAACTGAGGTGATTTGACGCTTGACGACACCATGTGACAGACTAGCACGGTGCTCCATAAGATATTTCCGTGGCTGATATCTAGGAGCACCTCCAGATCTTTCTTTTTCTTCCTCCCCTCCACCCCGAGGTACCTGTGGGTGAACTTGAATCATCAATCTTTGCTTTGGCAGTAAGCACACTAACCATTTGCTCCACTATTCAACACACTGTTGGGTTTCTGAGGCTGTAAATCCTTAGACAGGAGACTTCCTATCTTCCTCCCTCAGAGCAGCTGGTGGATTTGAACTGCCAGCCTTGCAGTGAGCAGTGAAACATATAATAGAGTGTGTCCCCCAGAGTCCAGTAAGTGTGAATGGCTGGTTACTTCCTTACAAGGACTGAAACTATCAGAGTACAAGGAGGTGACCACAGATATGTATGCCAAAGACACAGCAGTTACTGTCTCTTTATATTTTCTTCTGGAGACATCTCTCCCTCTCCTTCTGGAGATGTCTACTCTTCAAAGAACTTAAGTATGAGTTTACTCCTCAAGGAATCCAGATGATAATGCCGTTTATTATGAAATGAATTCACACTAGAAAGCACACACTACTTCTTTTCTTATTGTTTCCCAAAGTCCAATACAGTTTCAGACACAAAGGAGGCACCAGGTAGTAAGTTTTTCTGGAGCTGGATTTTTGTGGAAGGGGGAAGATGGAATACTTTGAAGGGAATGAAATGACTTTGTGTGAAACTGTCACAGTGGACACATGGCACGCATTTGTAAAAGCCACAGGTCTCTACAAAACCAAGGGGGCCCTAACGTAAGCTGTAGACTTCGGTGAGTGTGACGGCTGAGGCTGGGTGCCAACATGGCCGCTGAGGATACGCCGGCTTGGCAGTTACGATGCAGTCATTCCCTTGATGAGGACGAATGTAATGTAATCGTTCTCTTGACGAGATCTGATCTCATCGAATCATTTCCATGATGAGACCTTACATAATGTAATCACCGCGCTGATATCATCGATCAACTGAAAAGGAGTTTCAGTGAAGGTGTGGTCGACAAGGAATATGGAAAGGTGTCTGGCACAGCTCTCGTCATTTTTCTCGGTCTGACCCCTGCCTCTGACTCGCCACCTCTAGTTCTTTGTCCTTGGACTTGCACCCTGCCTCAGCTGCTGACCTTGCATATGTTAGCCGCCGCACGTATGTAAGTAAGTCAGAAGAAGCCTCTCTCCTGAGGTCGGACCCTAACACCTGAGACTCCCCAGCACCTTAAAGTACATTAGTCATCTCCTTGCTATAAATGAAGCGTGCTCTCTCTGCCTCCCCCCTCCAGCAGTCTCTTTCTATGCATATGTGCTTCCGTGTGATTGCTTCTGTAGAGATCCAGTCTGACAATCAGTAATAGTGAATTAATAGAGGTCAATCAATTGTACAAAATGTACCACAATATTAATAACAGGAGAAGTAGCGTGCAGCAGGGTGAACTGGAATATGGAACTCTCTGTACTATCTGCACAATATCTCTGTAAATAAAAAATGGATTTTAAAGAAAGTATATACTTGGACCAAGAGGCAGTCGTCAGAACAGAGCAAGGAAACACTGCATGGTTCAAAATTGGGAAGGGCATACACCAGGGATGCATCCTATCTCCATACCTTTTCAACCTGTATGCAGAACAGATTACCCGGGAGGCTGGGCTCTATGAGGAGAAATGTGGGGTCAAGATTGGTGGACGATTTATCAACAATCTGCGTTATGCAGATGACACAACCCTGCTTGCTGAAACTGAGGAGGACCTGAAGCGCTTGCTGCAGAGGGTCAAGAACTGCAGCCTACAATATGGATTGAGGCTCAATGTCAAGAAGACAAAGATTCTCACCACTGGACCAATCGGCAGCATCAGGATGGATGGTGAAGAGATTGAGATTGTTCACAGCTTTAGTTTGCTTGGCTCCACAGTCAACACTCTTGGCACCAGTAGCCAGGAAATTAAAAGGTGCATTTCCATGGGAAAGCCTGCTGTTAGGGACCTCTTCAGAGTACTGAAGAGCAATGGTGTCTCTCTGGAGACTAAGGTGTGTCTGATACAGGCCATGGTCTTTGCTATCACTTGTAATGCATCAGAGAGTTGGACAATGACTAAAGAGGATAGAAGGAAAATTTATGCCTTTGAGCTGTGGTGCTGGAGAAGAGTATTGAGAATACCATGGACTGCTAGGAAAACAAACAGATTCATCCTGGAAAGGGTTAAACCGGGCAGCTCCCTGGAGGCAAGGATTCTGAGGCTCCATCTAACATACTTTGCACATGTTGTAAGGAGGGACCGGTCTTTGGAGAGACACATCATGCTTGGGAGGGTGGATGGAGAGTGCAGGAGGGGAAGGCCCTCTATGAGGTGGATTGATTCAGTGACTGGGGTAATCGGGATGGGTGTGTCAGAGACAGTGCGATTGGCACAGGACAGAGCAGAGTTTAGGGCTGTTGTACACAGGGTCACTATGAGTCGCAAGCGACTTGACGGTACATGACAACAACAACATATTTAAAAACAGAACAAGTACGGAGAGAATTCTCCTTAAAAGAGATGACAGCGAGACTTCCTCTCATATACTCTGGACATGGGGTAAAGAGGGCCAGTCCCTGGAGAAGGAGGGGGTCAGGGAGAAACATGAAAACCTCAATGAGATGGACGGACCCAGTAGTTGTAAGAACAGTTGTGAGACAGTTCAAAACAGTGCTCCATTCTACCATAGATGGAATAGCCAGGAGTTGGAACCACTTCAACAGCACTTAATAACATTTTAAAAGCATTGTCTTTGGAAAACGGCGTGCCGACGGTGGGATAAAGGCAAGTGGGAGGCTTTTATCTGCACAAGACTATGAGCAACTTGAGGGTAAGAACAGATCTATACTTGAATCTTCTGGGATGGTCAGCCAGGTCTAGGATCAAGGCGAGGTCTGATGTACATTTGTTTGAATGACTTGAATGGATGGATGGATCTGAGAGAACTATTAGTCAATAATATCAAAGAGGTGTGTACTCCTCAGTACACAGTGAACCGTATGAGATTAAAAGGGCAGTGTTAGGTCAAAACAAAGCTCTGCATCAGAAAGGAGCAAGAAAGAAGGACAAGTGAACACAGGAAGGAGAAAGCAAGAATGGTGCTGTAACACCGAGGGGATTACAATCAACGTTATGAAACAAAATGTGTATACCTTGTTCAATAGGAAGCCAATCTGATCTGTAAATGTTGACTCAAATTTTAGTTGAGAAAACAAAATTTAAAAAACTGAACTCAACTAAAAACAATAAATGCAAGTGCTTTAACGAGTTCATCAGACACTGTGCTTCACACAATATTTAAGAACACCTGACCCCAGAATATTTAACTCCTTCCCCTTTATGACATCAAAGATTGCTTTCAATGGGCCCAAGTCTGCATTTTGCTCCATAATGTGAGATTCACGGGCAACCCCCAGAGTAAGACCACTCACCACAGGTTGACCAAGAAAGGATGGTCCAGGCCCTGCATGATCTGGAGTTCCCGGAAGACGTTCCGGACCTCGTCCCTCTCGATGCACTTTTGCTTGTTCATGTACTTCATTGCGTACATTTTCTTTGTGTCTCGCTTCTGCACGATGCAGACCTGAGTGACAGACAGAGGAAGGAACATTCAGATCAATGCCATACAAAAAAAAAAAAGGTTAATTTCAGGCATCTCAACTCCCGTGGTCAAGTCCATGTCTCAAAAACGTGATAGTAGAAAAGTTTTGGTAGAGCCACAACCTTCTACATCTTTAAAATGAAGGACTGTATTTCTTATTTTATCAAATTTTCACACTATGTATGTATCATGTCAGGCCCAACTTAAAATTAAGTGCTGAACTACTAGCTAAGAAACATTCACCCAGCTGCATCTCAGAAGACAGGTGTAGGGATCTGCATCTGAAGTTCTCAGCCTTAAAAACTCTATGAACCAGCCGGGTCCATTATGTTGGAGACTTCTTAACCAGAATCAAACATCCAAAGGAACGGAATTTAGGACCACAGTGTCTGGAAACATCAAGGTCAAGGGACATAACATAGTCCACAAAGGCAATGTTCTATAATCTACATTGATGAGTAGTGACTGGAGACTTAAAGCATCCAAGTGCTCATCTAAGGTGCAACCACTGGCCTATGTCTGGGGCAAGGAAGAGCGAAGAAAACCAAAGACACGTGGAAACAATGCATTCCTATCACCAACAGATGTGGTGATTCTCAATTTCTATAATGCTGAGAAGAAGTAGATGGTGCCTGATTTTTACTACTAGTCATTTTGAAAGGAAGCATAGAAGACGGTTCTGGAAAGAGTGGGAGGTAAATGTAGGGCAAAACTCAAAATCATAATAATGTCCAGGCTTATAGAGACCGGCAGAACCCTCAAGATTATGACCCTTAGCTGCCATTCGAGTCCAGAATGAAGCACATGCTTGTGTGCCACTTGCAGCCAAAGGAAAAACAGATTCCTAAGATGAACACACACAGAAGGGTATTTAACCCTTAGAAAAATTAGTCACACAGAAGTATAAGGACA